TATTGGCTTTTGTTATTTTTATTATTATTTAATTGCCTAATTGATTATTGTTATTGTTATTGTTATAAATATTATTGCTAAATGCATAATTGCCTTTAATTGCTTATTTAATGATTAATATTATTATTATTAATATAAATATTTAAATAATTTTCTAATGTGCCTAATGTGATTAATGTGAATTGGTAAATAATACTATTATGTGTATTATATTTAATTAAATGTGTTAATTGCGTATTTGTAATAAATTAAATGTGAGTTATTTATATAAAATAATCTTTTCAGTTTTATTTTTCGTCTATTTCGAGCCTCGTTTATTCTTTTATATTTTTTTTTTGAACCGAGAGCCCGAGTCCCATATGTCGTAAGAATCGAACCAAGGAAGGAACCCTACCCTCCCAAGAGTATAAAAACCGTATGCTATCTCTCAAACCCGCAGCACACCTTCTCTCTCTCTCGCGATTTCGCAGCAGAGAAAAAGAATCTGTTCGTCGTCAATATATCTCCCCATCTCTAGCGCTCTATCTTCATCATCCCTCTCTCGCTCCATCTTACCAGGAGCAGAGAGTTTTAGCGATAATCGCTCGCCCTTTCTCCTTCAGAATTTTTATGTTCGCTACCACCAGTTCACTGCCAAGCAAATCTTCCCGGTGAGCAGCACCATCGATCGTCGCCTTGTCCCAACGTGTACCCCCAGTTCGCGAGCCATCGTGGCTAACAGACACGCACCGACAACTCCCTGATCACGCGCATGCCTTGCCGAGCGAAACCCGACCAGGTCCCGATAACGAGCCCACCGTCATCGTCTTCCCCGCTGAGGCCATCGATTGTCACCCTCGGACCCCGCGAGCAGCGCCGTTGTCGCTGCACATCGCCACCGCGAACGTCGAGTCCCCAGTTCCACCACGGCTTGTTCTCCCTCGCGACCTCCATCACGGCATGTTCTGACCATACTCGCGAGGAGCTCGAGGCCGCAAACTTGCAATTACGGCGTCCCCTGCCACCGTGGAGTAGACGGCAGCCCGGTCTGAATTTGCAGCAGGCCCTGTTTTCAACCAGGCCACCTTCGGGCATCGCAGCGGCATCCCGTCGGCCTTCGTCTAGGACCCGAACAGCAGCGAGCAATTGATCACTCATGAACAACAGCGACGAGCACCTTGGTGGGGTTGAGTCGTCGTTCTTGATACTCTTTTTTGCTAGCGATTGACGTACCGTGTACTCATCGAGAGAGGTATATTGACTGAACCTTTATACCTCTGTTTTGGCCGAATTTATGCAGCGTTTATGTGCTTAGGTGTGTAGAGAATTTTCAGGTTTAAGATGCTTGTATTTGTAAAATGTTGATGCTTTGGTGTTATCATATGTTATATATATATATAAGATGGGGACCGAGTAAATTTACGTGCTTATGAGGTGATCTATGTTGAATTTGAATGAAGTCTTGATAAAGAAAGCTAAGTGTGAGTCTCACCTTGTTTATGTGATTTGTAATGAGATATATATGATAATGGTTTGATGTAATGAGTTGCTTTTGGTATAAGGGTTAACTTAATGAAGTTCATTGATATCGCATGTTTAATCTCGTTGTTAACTGCTCTGTTGTTCTGCTATATTGACCCTCCTAAACTTGTTATCTAATGTTGGGTCTTTCATATGAAATGAATTTCGTTTCATTGGCTTTCTCTGGGCTTTGGAATCATGTGATTTCGATTTAAAATGAATAAGTTATGATTTTTACAAAAATGTCGCGCGTACAGTT